GAAGTTACTTGGATGTGTGATGAAACTTCTCAATACACTTTGGTCCAGTTGTCCGCTTGCTCCTGGGGAGGAAAACTATGGCAAATCTAGACAGCAGACTAAAAAGCAGAGACATCATCCTGCAAACCAAAGTGCGCCTAGTCAAGGCTATGGTTTTCTCAGTTTCAATGGATGGTTGTGAAAGTTGGACCATAAGGAAGGCTGAGCGCCAAAGAATGGAGGCCTTTGAACTATGGTGCTGGAGAAGACTCCTGCGAGTCCCTTGGACTGCAAGATGATCAAACCAGTCAGTCCTGGAGATCAACCCTGACTGCTCTTTAGAAGGCCAGATCCTGAAGAGGAAACTCAAATCCTTTGGCCACCTAATGAGAAGGAAGGACTCACTGGACAAGAACCTAATGCTGGGAATGATTGAGGGCAAAAGAAGAAGGGGACGACAGAGAATGAGGTGGCTGGATGGAGTCACCGAAGCAGTAGGTATGAGCTTCAATGGACTCCAGAGGATAGTAGAGGACAGGAAGGCCTGGAGGAACATTGTCCATGGGGTCATGATGGGTCGGATACGACTTCACAACTAACAACAACCAGTTGCCATGGTTATTTTTAGATTCTTTCAGTCTTGTTTGAGATCCTGGTTCTCAGGAACATCATACTGATGTCCTCATTCACCTATCACAATAAGCTACATTGAAGCTGATATACTGTAATTCTGACTTAGACCAATGGATAAACCTAGTTGGAGCTAGCAACCTATGTTTTATGGTGTGCCATGCAGTGAAGGACTAGGGGTGATATGATAGTGGTCTTCCATTAGCTGAGAGGCTACCACAAAGAAGAAAGGGTCGACCTATTCTCCAAAGCAACTGAAGGCAGGACAAGAAGTAATGGGTAGAAAATCATTAAAGACAGATCCCACCTAGAAGTGAGAAGAATTTTCCGGACAGTGTGAACAACTAACCCAAGGAAAGTCTTGCCTCCAGAAGTTATGGGGTTCTATCACTAGCAAGCCATTGTCTGCAATAGTATAGGGCAGGGGTGTTCAAACTTGGGAATTCTAAGACTTATGGACTTCAACTCCCAGAATTCCCCAGCCAGCATGGCTGGCTGAGGAATTCTAGAAGCTGAAGTCCACAAGTCTTAAAGTTCCCGAGTTTGGACACCCCTGGTATAGGGTCTCCTGTTTGACAAGGAGTTGGACTAGAAGACCTTCAAGGTCCTTTCCAATCTAATTATTCTATGTTCTATTCTGTGAGATCCTGATTATTTCAACCTACATAGCTTAGGACGATGACTGAACCTAACCAATGTTTATAAAGTAGTTGGGGCATTTGGAAGTCACTTTCCCACTTGGGTAACTTATGTAAGTATATTGATAATACTGCCCACAAGCCCCAATCCAACATGACTTCAGGAGACAAGAGGGCTGGAAAAACACAAACAATTTCTGGCATTAGAAATCAAGTAACTCTCCAGAAGCCCACGAGCTTCTCGCACTAATTTTCTGTTCTTTTCCAACTTTTGAGATTCTTCTCATCAGGAAGAAAAGGAACTACGCTTATGCAAAGGACCTGTTAACTAGAGAAGTCAATCTAGAGGATGCTGAAGGTCTTGACCGCTTGAAGGAACGACGCTTCATGCAATCACAAGATTGGCTTTCGCAATTTGTATGTTAATTTTTGGCAATCAGCGCCAGTCCAGGGAGAGGAAGAGAGTCAGAGCACTTAACCTGCGGAGGGCAAGGCGACTCCTGCATTGAACCTCGGAGAGGGAGGCATGGCAGCAACAGGGTGGCATAAAAAAGGCTCAGCTTGATAAGCTCTGAAAAGGCCACAGGAAACCAGGAAGGGGAGGGAAATGTCTGCGAATGAATAATGGACCCAGGGGTGGGATTCAGCCAGTTTGGACCAGTTTGGACGTGTTCGGGCAAACTGGATGCTAATTTTACATCTCGTTTGCTGAACCAGTAGTTGCAAAGACTAGATGGCCCCGCTTACCCCACCCTGCCCCTTTCAGGAGTCTCCACGTGGCCCATTTTGGATGACAGATAAGTGCAGGGCCTGCGTGGAGGCTCTGAGAGGGAAAAATAATGGCCTCCTGGAAGTTCTGGAAGTCTGGAAACCAGCTTGTTTCTGGCTTCCGGAGGGTCTTTGGAGCCCAGAGGAGACCATTTTCATCTTCCCAGAGGCTCGAGGAAAGCCTCCGGTACCTGAAGAGGGCAAAAATGCACCCCCCCCCCATGATGCAAGAGGCTAAGTAGGCCACGCCCACCATGGTTACGCTCACCTAGCAATTGGGCAGAGAACTGGTTGTTAAATTTTTTGAATCCCACCCCTGAATGCACCCATTATATTTAGGTCCTGATTTTTCCACAGGTGCTTCAGGGCTCAATATAGAGCAGGGGTGTCAAACCCAAGGCCCAGGGGCCAGATCCGGCCACAGGGGGCTAATTCTGGCCTGCGGGGCAGCCATGGAAATGGCAAAGGATCAGCCTGCGGGTGCCTCTGCCAGTGAAAATGGAGATGGCTTCAGGAGGCCGTCCAGGCCGAAAATGGGGCCTGGGGCCCCCACATGCATTTCCTCTGGGCTCCATTTATGCTGTCAGAGGGCTAGCAAAACAAACTAAAAGCAAAACAAAACAAAAGGAGAAATGTTTGCCCTTTTTGCATTTGAGCATGCAAGAAGGGGTCAGGAAAGGAGAAAGGGAAAGAGTAAAGACGAAGAAAAAGAAGGGAAGATGGGAAAAGAAGGAAAAAGAAGGAAAGAGGGGAAGGAAGAAGAAAGGAGAATGAAGAGGGAATGAGAAAGAAGAACAGGAAGGAAGGAGGGAGGAAGGAAGGAAAAAGAAGGAAAGAAGAAGGAAGAAGAAAGGAGAATGAAGAGGAAAGAAGAACAGGAAGGAAGGAGGGAGGAAGGGAGGGGGAGGAAGGAAGGAAGGAAGGAAAAAGGAAAGGAAGAAGAAAGGAGAATGAAGAGGGAAGGAGAAAGAAGAACAGGAAGGAAGGAGGGAGGGGGAGAGAGGAAGGAAGGAAAAAGAAGGAAAGGGGAAGGANGAACAGCCAACCTGCTGTTTCTCCGTGTGGGCGGAAGGGCGGAAAAATATATATCAGGTCTTGGGTTAGCATGAACAGCCAACCTGCTGTTTCTCAGTGTGCTGTCTGTCCATCACTTGGCAGAGATTATTCCCACGCTGATCCTTTCTTTGGGAAGTGAAAAGTAGTACAAAATACTTAATACACAAACAAGATTCTGTCTTTCTTGATTTGATTCCATTTTTTTTAATCCACTGCAATTGAACAGCATTTTATTGTTAATGAATAATTATTCTCCTAGGGATTCAATCTGCGTAAAAAATAATATTTAAAGATATTGAAAGTCTTTTAAGTGCAGGGAAAGCAGAACTATCTTAAGGAGTATCGTTGTTCTTTTAAATATTTTAAATTGAACCGAATTGTTTATTGGCCAAACGTGATTGGACACACAAGGAATTTGTCTCGGGTACATAAGCTCTCAGTGTACAGTAGTGGCCCAAATTTTGGAAAACCTTTTGGAAAAAGTGTATGTCTAAAACTAGCTAATAACACCACTTTTTTTTTAGTAGTAGTACCATAAAATTATACACAAATCAAAAGATAATTTAATCAATAATGTAATGCAATAACTCTTATGAAGGATTTGTTATTAGAATAGCAATTATAAAGAAGAAATGATATATACAAAAATTATCACTGTAGAAAAAACAAGAGATACAAAAATTATCACCGTGTCAGTTAATATTTAGTTGGGTAACCTTTAGCATGAATTATGATCTTACAACGTCTTCCCATGGAGTGAACCAAGTCTTTTAGTTCTCCAACCAAGATTGAATGATTGCTTCTATTAACTGGGTTTTATTGCTGGGTCCTTTCTGACTAACAAGTTTCTTTAGTCAGTTCCATAGATTTTCATTTGGGTTAGGTAAAGGTAAAGGTTCTTCTTGCACATATGTGCTAGCCGTTCCTGACTCTTGGGGGAGGTGCTCATCTTTGTTTCAAAGCGGAAGAGCCAGCGCTGTCTGAAATATCTCAGTGGTCATGTGGCCGGCATGACTAAACGCCGAAGGCGCATGGAACGCTGTTCCCTTCCCACCAAGGTGGTCCCTATTTTTCTACTTGCATTTTTACATGCTTTTAAACTGCTAGGTTGGCAGAAGCTGGGAGAAGTAATGGGAGCTCACTCCGTTACGTGGCGCTAGGGATTCAATCTGTCGAACTGCCAACCTTTCTGATCGACAAGCTCAGCATCTTAGCCACTGAGCCATCGCGTCCCTCTTCAATTGGGTTAAGGTCTGGGCTATTCCCAGGCCATTCCAGCAGTGGAATATGATTATCTTGGAACTCCTCCCCCAAAAGTGGTGTTATTAACCATCAAACCTCAAAAATACACTTTTCCCAAAAGGTTTCCACAATTTTGGCCACTATTGTACATACAATCAACAAAGTGATAAATCATGATCATAATCATAAAATACAATCATCATAAAACATAAGATGCAACACTCCATGTTAGTCATAGGATATACATAAGCAATCTACAGAAATCATAACAGGATACTAAAAAGAAGCAACTGACATAAATCATAAGGTACAAAAAACAACGTTATACATTCTGTGTATTTTCTTGTTTAAAGTTTTTACATTTTCAACAATGTTACAGAGGCTTTTATCGAAATTGCTGGTCCACTTTTACGCCTCCAAAACTATTTCTGGGCTTTTATTCTTTTTGTGGGATTGGAGAATTGCTCTGTGAATGCTAATTAGCAGGAATTTATTAGTCAGTAGATGGCCATATGAATTATAATGATAGAGATTGAATTCCAACATGGCATTTCAGCTGTTGCTTAAAATGTTTAAAAACACATCCAGAATGACGACTGCCTAGTTTTGCTGATTGTGGCTTGTGTTGATTCTTACTGTGTAGAAGTGAAGATGTAAAGGTGGGGGTTTTTTGCTCTTTTTTTCCAGATCACGAATTATTTGACCATAAAAGACATAAGCATTGAGAAGATTCAGTTTGATTATTCCAGTTATGGGGAGGCACAGATCAACGAAGGAGATTTTGGCCATGTGCTGGAGATCTATGATTTTTCCCCATTGCTAAAAACAGAACATCTTATGGAGGCCTTTGCAGATTTCCAGTAAGTGGTGGTTTTTCCTGTTCTGGACCGTCCTGAAAGCAGAACATCCTTTCTGCAGGGGAAATGCGTTGTAACTTTACAGAGACGTGAATGTAAAATTGTAGGACTCAGAAATCCATCATAGCAGGTGTCCAAAATGTCTGTCTGCCTCTGCAGAGTTTATTTGGCTTTTAGACAGTTTCAACAAGCAAAGCAAGAGCATAGGTAGCAACAGCATCGTTACTGGCTTATTCTCCTTGTCAATCTCTAAAACCATCCCAGCCAGGGTAGAATCTCACATAACCCAATAGTTCCTGGTAGTGCCTGGTTCTACTAATTAGGTGAGCTCATAGATAGTTGAGGTAATTGGTTACTAAGGCTTATGGCAGTTTGCTGCTCATGCCTGTACGTAACCTTTGTATAACCTCTATATAAAATATAGAGAATCTGTGGAGTCTCAAGTTATCCAAATCAAGGATCTCAAACAGTGGTGGATTTCAAATTTTTTTTAGGTAGGTGTGGCCTGCCACATACCC